GGGCACTCTGTGCTGGGTCAGGAACTGGCTGGAGGGCCGGGCCCAGAGAGTGCTGGTGAACGGGGCTGCATCCAGTTGGGATCCTGTCACCAGTGGTGTCCCCAGGGATCAGTGCTGGGCCCAGTCCTGTTTAACATCTTTATTAATGATTTAGATGAGGGGACTGAGTCCACCGTTAGTAAATTTGCAGATGACACCAAGTTGGGAGGGAGTGTCGATCAGCTGGAAGGCAGGAGGGCTCTGCAGAGGGACCTGGAGAGGCTGGAGAGTTGGGCTGATTCCAAGGGGATGAGATTCAACAAGGCCAAGTGCCGGGTCCTGCACTTTGGCCACAACAACCCCTGCAGCGCTACAGGCTGGGCAGAGTGGCTGGAGAGCAGCCAGGCAGAAAGGGAGCTGGGAGTTTGGAGTGACAGGAGGTTGAACATGAGCCAGAGTGTGCCCAGGGGGCCAAGAGGGCCAAGGGACCCTGGCCTGGCTCAGGAACAGTGTGGCAGCAGGACCAGAGAAGTGATTCTGCCCCTGGACTCAGCGCTGGTGAGGCCACCCCTGGAGTGCTGTGTCCAGCTGTGGGCCCCTCAGTTCAGGAAGGACATGGAGGGGCTGGAGCAGGTGCAGAGAAGAGCAACCAGGCTGGTGAAGAGACTGTGAAGAGCACAAGTCCTATGAGGAGAGGCTGAGGGAGCTGGGGTTGTTTAGCCTGGGGAAGAGAAGGCTCAGGGGGGATCTCATTGCTCCCTACAACTCCCTGGAAGGAGGTTGTAGGCAGGTGGGAGTTGGTCTCTTCTCAAGGCAACTATCAGTAAGACAAGAGGGCATGGTCTCAAGCTCTGCCAGGGGAGGGTTAGGCTGGATATTATGAAGAAATTGTTTACAGAGAGGGTAATCAGGCATTGGAATGGGCTGCCAAGGGAGGGGGTAGATTCTCCATCCCTGGAGGTATTTAAGAAGAGACTGGATGTGGCACTTAGTGCCATAGTCTGGTAACTGCGGTGGTAGTGGATCAAGGGTTGGATTTGATGATCTCAGAGGTCCTTTCCAACCCTGCTGATTCTATGATTCTATGATTCTAAGCATCCACCACCCCTGCCCCCAACCTCACCACTTGGTGTGTTTGATGCCCCTTCCCATTGCCTGTGCTGCCTCTGAGGTTCACTCCCCACACCACACTGCAAACTTTGACTTCATTTAATGAAAAACCTGTTTGAAATGACAGTCTTTGTTCTACATAATGACAATGCCCCAACGGCTTCTAGTTGGGGTCCAACACGTGACAACACATTCTCACAGGACTTTGGCTCATTTCAAACAATGTGCACTCAGGGAAATGCTTTCTCCTGTGCCTGTGCAAAGCCCGGTCAGCCCCACAGCTCCTCCTGCTGCTGAGACATCTTCCCTCTCAGGCTGTCTCCTGTGAGTCAGAGTGACCCGGAGCTGGACGTGGTTCTTGCAGGGAGGGCTCCTTCCTCTGGCTGTCCTGGAAATGCTGCTTGTTGGAGGTGGCCACCCTGAAGATGAGGAATATCTACGGTGGTAGGAAAACTTCCTTAACGAAAAAGACAATGGACCTACCGTCATGTAAGGGACTTTCTCACTGGGACTTGTAGGCTAAACCTATTGCTAGGTTAATGCCAACACCTGAAGTTACATTGCCTGTTGCTGTGGGCTCTGCTCTCCAGGGCTGCATGCTGTTTCCCCATTGGGCAGCTTACAGAGACGAGTCTGCCCCAACCAATCCTATTGCTTCACTGTTACCTCTTGTTACTGCCCTTCCCCTTAATGTTTATTCATGTCCCCTCTACCTATCCCATGTCCAGGTTTTGCATATCCTTCCCAGTTTCTAGAATCCTCCCCAGCCTTTCCTATAAACCCCCCACCATTTTGTTTAATAAAGCAGATCAGCCTCGAAGACTGCCACGAGAGACCTGCAGCCCTGTTCAAGAACCCTGCTGGTCTCGAGTCTTTATTCCCGGCTCACGACAGCTGCTCACATCTGCTGTCCTGTCGAAACAACAGCCATGCAGCTGAGCTGGCTTCCAGACAGAGCTGACCTGAGCAGGCGACAGCAAAACACTTCCTCTCCGAACCCAGCATATATTTGGGGGCTTACTTTGAGTAACACAGGGTTTATTGCCCATTTCCTTCCCTGTTGGGCATTTGGAGAAAAAGCAAACAGAGCATTTCATGGCTCGTCATGCAAACTTAGATCAGACAAAACTACTTCTTACAGCTCAAACTATTCAAAGGACTGGCCTCCATGGGACACAGTAAATCCCCTCTTGGGGCAGCTTCCCAGGTGGAGATGGTATTTTTGTGGGAAATTGTATTAGAAATGTCTGAAAATGCTTTATTCTCACACTTGCCCAGCAGTGTGGGGAGCAAGTTGAGGGAGGGGATTCTCCCCTTCTGCTCTGCTCTGCTCTGTTGAGCCCCCAGCTGCTTCCAGCTCTGGGGTCCCAAGAGAGGAAGGACACAGAGCTGCTGGAGTGAGTCCAGGGGCTCCCTGAGAGCTGGAAAAGGGCTTTGGAAGGCCAGGACAAGGGGCAGTGGCTTCCCACTGCCAGAGGGCAGGGTTAGATGGGGTCCTGGGAAGAGATTCTTCCCTGGGAGGGTGGAGAGGCCCTGGCACAGGTTTTCCAGAGAAGCTGTGGCTGCCCCATCCCTGAAAGTGTTCCCAACCAGGCTGGCTTTGCAGCCCCGTGGAACAGTGGAAGATGTCCCTGGCCGTGGCAGGGGATGGGATGGGCGGATCCTTTAGGCCCCTTCCAAGGCAGTCCAGTGCTGGGTTCCGTG